CCTTTATTCGTTATGGTTTCTTCATGTTATTCGATTAATATATAGAGGGACTTCGAAAAGTTGTTGGATTTTAAAATTGGATTGGCTTGTCCATGGCTTGACAATTATAAAACTTTTTGGCATTGGTTGAAAGCGTAGATCGAACTCACACCCTAGGCTGTGGTAAGGCACATCTCTATAATAACTGTACCGAATTATTACATTCAATCAACGTCAGGCGATATTATTTTTAGAACGACTTCCTATCAAAGAAGATTGATAAGATTAAAATGTTTATTTGATTAGATACTAACATTTTATAGTTTATTCATGTGCCTCTTCAATAAAATGTTATTGAGAATTGCCAGAATTTATCAAAAAAAATTCTGTCGCTAAAAAGTTTTACAAGAAAGACGAAAATTASAGCGAAATTGATAAGAAACTACAGCTTCCTGTAAAAACTTCAGATTTATTTGATTTGGCCGCGAAAGTGGCTATTAAACTTAGAGAATCTGGATTCTTACAATAACGTGTATCTGAATGGACTCGCCAAGCCGAACTTTGTCAGCTCTTACTCTGTCCAGTGCTCTGAGAGAGCCAGTGAGCCTCAAAGCTCCGTGGAAGGGTTTACTGTCGGGAGCTTTCTTCAGTTGCAGACTTCCTGACTATTGCAGTGTCTTCCAAGCCGAGGTTGCAGTCATTAAAGCAGCAGTAGATCTGCTTCTCTGGAGTGCAGCCCCCGTTAGAGAAGTGACCATTCACTCAAATAGCAGAGCGGCGATACTAGCTTTGAACTCATTTACAGTGCATTCAAGGTTGGTCGAGGAATGCCTAACTTCGATATTAATAGCATCAAGTGTCTTTATGATAAGATTGGTATTGGTGCCGAGCCATAGCGGAATCGCAGGAAATTGTAAAGCTGATGAGCTAGCRAGGAAAAGCACCCTAGAACTGCTATCGGTAGAATGGAAGCTTGGCTTAGTGYCGGGCACCATCGGTACTTGCGCTGTCTCAAAAGCCTTTTGAACCAATATTTACCGCAGGAGCTATATTTKACCGCCATTGAGGCTTTTAACAGGCATCCATGCTGTAAGGTTGGGAATTTTACCGGATGCCATTTAAGGAAGCTGTTTGAAAGAWGATGAGGTGGAAACCACTCAACACTTCCTCCTTGAATGTCTCGCRYAAACCTTCAGRCATCCCACCGAACTGGAGGGAGTTGAAATTAAGCGCCTATGAAAATWTGTATTGGCTACTAAGCAGTTCTTCTTTTCTATGGTTTCACAAAAGACTACATATAATAGTCCACGTGCGACCATCGATCAGCCGTCTAACCTAACCCAACATAATAACCAAGTTCTAGCAATAATTGTSTATTTGAACATCTCATTAAAAGTTCTCATTAAAAAAATGAGCACAACTAACTGGCATCCTTTTTACTAATGCGGCCCTGATCCAGCCGGTATTAATATTTYATGCTGATAAATCATCTTCTACCTTTGCTGCAGGTAAGCACATCAATTCATGTCGTGATCTCTACCGTTTTTGTGCCAAATGAGGGTTGAAGTAGCCAGCAACTTTTAACTTCAAAAGAAGAAAATTGAAATCACATTTTCATTAAATAATTGAGATGCCTGGACGGAAATCGTGAATTACTGCGACGCAAATAAATGAAATTATCCTTCTCGTTCATGGGGAAATTATCCAATTTTGTATCACCAACACATTAAAACACGGTTTAAATGCGGCGCMCACTCTACAAAAATCACACACTCACATGGAAGAGCACACATACTGGTACATACATACATATATGGAGAGAAAAGGTAAAAATTACTGCAAAAGAAGCAGAAAAAGAAGAACATTAAACTGCCTTTGAGGTGCGGYAGGCAAAAGCTTCATTTGACAGCGACTAGAGAGGAGGAGGATTCCCGATGCGGTTTCAAATTCTCATTAGTTATTATAAGTGGTGACCGCTAAAGACCTGTCAGCTAAATTTGTATCGATAGTCATGGACTCGAATTCAAYTTTCCCTGTGCCCAAGGAGAATACCCGTAATATATATAGCATCGATATGGAAAAAATCGTGTGTTCATGAAAAATTATTGGTTATGGCCCCCAGTGACTTTTTCCGTTGTCAGAAGAAAATGCTCGAAGGAAAGATATTCAGCGACGATGAAAAGGCAATCTTTGAGACCGAATCTTGCTTTAATGGAAACTTTTACTACAAAAAATTTAATATGCAAAATTTGGGAGATCGCTTTAACCGCCGGTCGTTCATAAGTAATAAAACGGTACGAGCTTTCAATCCACTTGCTATATGCAGTATGGGTTAGGTTAGATTATACTGGTCCATGACGGTCACGCCACACATAGACCTACTAATGCCAGTTAGAGGTTCAGTTTRATTTGATCTGAAATCATTCTCTTTCGTATTGACTTATACTTAGGGACCAGGCAGCAAAAATATATTTATTTGTTCGAACATTGAAGTCGGCGAGTTTTTCTGTAGATTCACACATGGCATACACGTATGTAGTGTAACATACCTCAGTCAATTTGAACGACTAAGGACTTTGATAGACAGAGSTTGCATCTTCGAATGTGGAATGAATTCACTTCGAATTCGATTCTTCAAAAACCACCAAGCACAGTCGTCGATTCTTCCACAGATTCCCGTTGGGGTTTCACCATTTCGCATACATACAAACTATGCACATGGATGAGTATATTCGAATTTAAATAAATACATAAATGCGGTACGAGCAGGTAATGTTACATTTATTTTATTGATTATATTTACCCACATATACAGTTTTTAATATTAATAGCGGTGATTGGGAGCCAATGTTCAGCATTCAAGATGAGCTCAACGCAGCTCTGCGAAGCTTATCTCTTTTCTTCCCAGAAATAAGCACTTGTGAAAGGTCTCCGCTTGAACGTGATTTTATTAGCATTTCGTAAAGCGTCTCTCGCGCACTCACCCTTCGCGTACCCCTGTGCCCTTAATAGGAATATTCGAGGGTTGCTATTTTTAATGTTATCAGTGGCGCAATRAACGAGGGGTTTAAACAGTTGTTATTGTTTTCGAAGTTGTAGTAAGGAAGGTATTCAGGCCATTATTGAAGTGTCGTAAGAAAGGCAATTATATTTTTACCTTCCATTTTTTTATTAGTTATTTATTAAAATTACAAAAATGCAGGAAAAATCGAAGAAGGTAAAAATTTCAAAAATTAGCTGCTGATGAAGTGGGATGTCAAAAACCTGACACGTGATCATTCCCACTTTTTCAAAAAAAAAAAATATATATGTACATATATATATGTAAAGATTATTAATCTAGATTGATGTCGCTATGTCTGATACTACGGAAATGTTGGACTTTCTCTCATGAAATGGCCATAGTCGAAAAAAATTTTATTACACTTTTCATAATTTTTTTTAAATAGTTAAAATTGGATAGTTCCAAACATTCACGAGTCTATTATGAAGACTGACTAAAAATTTCAGGTAAATCCGTCCAATAACTCAAACCTGATAGGTTTATGCAATTTCTTGACTAGATTACCCCCCTTCAATTAAGAAATACTATAAAAAGCGCCCTACATACAAATCCCATTTAAGAGGGAAATGTTTTTTTCAGATYCTAAAATTATTTTAAGCGGTTGTGTGTCTTAAAACAAGAAAAAGTGTTAACTTCGGTTGTATTGAAGCTACAATACCCTTCACAAATAAGAATGTTTTCTATGCAAGAACCTGATTTTGATATCGGCGGTTCCGACAACTGAGTCTAAGCAGCTTCTTGAGGGAAAATGGACGTAATTCGAATTGATATCTTAAAAAACTGAGGGACTACGCATACACAAGCAGTCAGAGAAACATGGTTAAACCGACCGTTCGTTTTTCTTTTTTTAGGGTCTCCGACGTTTCCTTCTGGGTGTTACAAACTTCGTGCAAACTTAAGTGGGACACAAAAATATGTTCATATACATACATACATACGTGTATAAATATTTGAAAATCTCAGCAATAAACCCTTGACCGTGAGCTCTTTTCGCACCGTTTTAGGTTTGAAAACCCCAAGTGATCAGTGTTGGAATGAATGCAGTATTTGCATTTCCCTGTTTAATTTTTGAAAGTACTGAAAAAGTTGGTTTCCTTTTCCAGATCTGAGAGTCGACAGGATGGTTACAGTTGAAATCCACACACACCAAACTTCTAGCAAAGCTCCTTCCCCAAGCGGCTTTGAATAAAAACACGAATTTTTTGTGATATTTTCTTACATTTATTAACGCATACGAATCGAATATACAGATGACATGCTTACTTTTTGGGTTTACTTGTTTTGTCTATGGAAATACTTCTTTGTATTTAAGTAATATATAATGTTATGTAATCTTTAATAGTACACAGTATGTTTATAAGCAGCTCTTAATAAAAAATCTATCAATTATTATTTTACTGAAGGAAAATTATGTAGTCATATGCTAAATTAAACGATCTCGGGGTCACAGGTTCGTAACGAACTTCCCGTTTTACGTGCCTTATACTTAACTAAATATACATAGATATATATGAATGAAGAATGCTTTGTGTGCTTCATTTTTGTACAGACTTCCCTCCCTTCCTCATAGGTTGGTTTGAATGCGTGTGTGTGTTTATTGGTTTGGGCACCAGAGTTTCTTAAATGATTTCGTGCGACAAAGTTTTTTTGTTTAGGGCTTCCAAAAATGGTCTCATAACTATGCACATACAGATAAAGAGTCAATGGGCTAACGGGCTTATAGAAAAATGTATGAATATATCAGAGCGAGAGCGAGAGAGTGGGAGTAACCTTCATCCAACTTCGCTTCGCACAAACAATTTTGGTTCGTAAAGCGCAAATTAAAACGAAGGAGCAATTTCCATAATATTGCGATTTCGCAAGGAATGGTCCTTAACCTAGAACCAGGTCACTATAACTTTTACAGTTAACCTTTATACTTATGAATTTTGTATTTACTGAGAAATAATCTTAAAAATAAAGTTTAGGATTTATATTTATTACATTTAATAAAATATAATTATTAATAACTTTACACCACTGGTCCATATAAAAGCTTGCTGGTGGACGAGCTTTAATTGTTCCACGCAACTGTTTTGGGTACAAGTCATAGTGTTCAAAAGTCTCTTAAACAGAAATAAAAGAAGTTTGCAAAGTGTTGTCGCTTAAATGAAGGTGTCTTAATAAATCGGGAAACTAGAATATAGCACTAAAACTTTAAGGTTATGTCTGACCTACAATTGCCTTTTGTGGCATCAATTCATACAATTTTGGAATTTTCTTGTCAATCGCTAAGATTATTTTTTTTTTAAGTAATGCTTGCGCTTGTGGAAAAATAATGAATTCAAATTAATGCGGATGAATTACTTCATTGCTCCTCTTGCGGCGTTTCTAAATTTACCAAATATTACAATTCATGCATTTGTCACTCGGCATCGCTTTGACTTGCCTCGGCGTCGTAGTTGAAGGGCATGACGAGGTTCGTGTCGTGCTGGTTCAAGAAGATGCCGCTTACATCATCTTCGATGCCGGGCAGTGAAACCGCCTCCGCTTCAACCCGCTGTGGGGATAGACCGTCGGTGTCGCAACTCTCGTTGCCATTMCCACTTTCGCCTTGCGCCGTTGACACTCCGGCTTCATTAGCCGACCTCGGGTTTGTTAGTTGATCTGCGAGCCATGTTGGTGTGCCCAGCAGTTGGTGTAGGCTCAGTGCATTTTCATCCGTTTCATTTTCATTTTCGTTGTCATTGCCATCGTCTACTTCCTCGTCCTCCTCCTCTTCGCCRCCACTAKAGGCTGAATACAATGAATGTGATGTTGCCGAGGTATCCGACGTTGTTGAAGACGTTGACGATGTTTCCGAACTATTGAAATTGTCGTTCTCATTGCAGTTATCGTGCTCATGTTCATCGCCATTATCGTTATCGTTGTCGTTTGTGTTGTTGGTTGTGGCCGAGGCGCGCGAAATCGAGCGGTTATTAGCCGGGGTTGTGGTAACGGTGGTGGCAGTCGTTGTTTGCGTCACCGTGGAGGAGAATGTGTTATCCTCTTCCATTGCGATATTTACGGCAGTTCTTTCGTTCTCGTTTGTTGATGTAATGCACACATTTTGAGCGACGTCCAAGCTCTCTTCCCCCGCCTCTACTAGACGACTGAGACCGCTATTTTCATGCGTATCACTATCGAAATTTTCCTGCTTTGTCAAAGCGTCCAGTTCCTGCAACTCGCACACCTGTTCTGAACTTGGGGGCATTTGCTCAGTACCGTTATTGGTATTCCCGTTCGAGTTCAATGAGTCGTTGCCCTTTTCGCAGTCGATTAGGTAGGCGAGTGTTTTATTAATCTTTTCCATGGTGCCGCCATGTTTTTCTTGTTCTTTRAGCGCTTGTAAGCGACGCTGCAGTTCTATCAAATTTTGGCTGTCATCGCTCGAGTATTCAGAGTCTGAGCTCATGGCTTCCGTTTTGAAGTGTTTGGAGTCATCACTTGGCGCTTTATTTGCGCTCGGGCTCAGCTTTCGCTTTCGAATATTCGTGCTGCTGCTGTTCTGACCGCCACTGTTGCTGCTGCTGCTGGTGGTTTGCTGCGGCCCTTTCCTTCGTGAGCGCTTTGGTTTCTGGTTTCTGGAACTACGTTGTGATTTCGTACGGTGTCTTTTGATATTATAATCTTCATCATCACTGTCACTGCTTGTAGATGTTGTGTCTGTATTGGACGACGTGCAGCTGCTCTCGTATATTTTCTTGCCCCTGTGCATAGTAGTTGATGTTTTCGGTTGGTCCTGGTCTCTTCCTCGATTGCTGCGCAAGTTGCGCTTGCGACGGGAAGCTGTGCTGCGCCGTGAACGCTCGTACATTTCCTTTATACCTCTACCGCCCCCGGACGACCGCAAGCCCGTTGATGTGCTAGCACCCATATTATATAACTCCTCATGATCACGAGCTGTGTGCGAGTCGACCTCTCCCAACCCGGTTGTTATTTGTGTTGTTGAACTGTTTTTGTTATCTTCTAACTCTCGTTTTTGTTCCTCGTCGTCGACACTGGCAAATGCTGATTTCCTCAAGGGTTTTGATTCATCCACAAATACCACGTCAGAATCACTTTCTGAATTTAGACTGACAAGTTCGGGTGTACGAAGGTGTGGTGGCTTGCGCTCCAATACGAACTCGCATTCGTCACTACTGCTTGAAGTGAGTTCAATATTCTCTGTAACGGTGGGCTGTAAAGGTCTATTAACCGAAGAGCTGGAAGTTGGCGCTTCTTCGGCTGCAGAAGTTGAAGCTGCAGCTGTTCCCGCAGCACTRTCGTTTGCTGTACGCGAAGTCCCCGGCTCAAGGGAGGCTTCAAGGTCATCCAGATCAATAATATCGCCACTGACACGATTATGTGTACTTAGATTAATAGCTGCAGATTGTCCGCTTCGTCCATTTATAGAAACTGTGACGCCAGGTGCCTCGGTACCTTCTGAGGTAGTACTAACCGTGAATGACAGTAACGCTCCTACTGATCCACTAACCGACGAGTTACCTGAGCGTGATAGCACGCGGAATTCTCCGTCGTTGCGTGTACGAGAGTTACGGCTTCTCGTTCKACGTTCATTGTCATTTGAAGCATTTCCTTCATCTGACGATGCGGACGATGAGAACTCTATAACGATCTCCTCAGGTGTTTGTGGTAAATAGTGTACAGCTCGATCATAACCGATCATGTCGTATGGTGAGCGCGCGAAATTATTTAGTTCGTGTATGAAATGCGAGGTCTTTGCTCCAAGATAAGGTTGCAGACGRCGTCGAAATGCAGGCGATAAAATGTTTGTTTGAAGAAGGCTCTCATTAATACGTTCTAGCAACGAAGATACATTATGCTCCGTGTTGCGTAACAAGCAAACAATGTCACGATTGATCCATGGCATAAGACGATGCACTTGCGCAGGATTATCCCTATTAGTCACAAATATTTTAAAATATATATTAATATAGTTATTGAGTGAATACAATGGAAATACCTATAAAATCTGGCTGTACTTTCTCGGAATCTTCCCGTTATATCACAAACTGGTAGGGCGAAAAGTCGTCGATCGTATATAAAACGACGCCATAGTTGACTTAAGGTGCCACTACTAGCTATGGCATCTGGTTCCTCCTGTCGGTACATATCTAGCAGTTCGTTGCGATAAACGAGATGATTGTACACGCTGTTTCCGTTGGAACTATTGCCATGTTCTCCATTAGAAGGGGCCATGTCAGAAGGATAAAATATACCGCTGCTGGCGGGACGGATGCGGTGAGCTGAATTTCTACGACGCGGCAACTCCCAGTCACGTCTGCAATTTAGTTTTGCCATCAGTTAGCATATAATAATGTATGCGAAATACAACATCATTCCTGGGTTGGCACAGTTTATACCGTAAGATAGTTATATTATGAATACTTACCCCTCCACGACTACTGCATCAAAAATATATGGCAAGCTCCGTAGAGTGACCTCCACAGGGCGATGTGGAATTTGTACGGTGGGCGGCTGTACATGATACTCTTCAAACTGATCAATCGACTTCACATTGTGTATTATAGACTTGAATGTCTGTTTGCAAAGTGGACACTCCGGCTTAACCTTTGAAAATGTATAATTATTAACATTTAATATCCTCCTTGGCAATTTACAAACGATGACTTACCTTGCTCCATTCACACAGGCACTTGAAGCAAAACTGATGCATGCAGGAATCAGTGAAGCATTTATTTTTGCAACGTCCTAAGCAAATTGCGCAATTTGGTGGCGGTGATGCCGCCCTCCGAGCATCACCATTATTGGCTGACTCACCTTCATTTGTGCCTTGTTGGKTTTCRTCGCCCTCACTTTCACTGCTGCTAGTAGAGAGCTCAAATAATTTTATACGCATTAGAGGAGTTAATGTTTGTGGTAAATKTATGTCCTCAGCTGCAGCTGTTGCTGGAGTACCATGTTCTGGTACAGTTTCATTGGCACTGGATGTGGAACTAACAGCATTATGATTGCTACTTTCAATTCCTTCAGTTGCTCCTTGTGAGCTTCGCGCTGARCCTGAGCGACCACGCCGGGACGTATTGGTGGACATGGCCGAAGTTCGTGCACTTGAATCAGCAGCTGATGCTGGCCGTATATTGTTGGATAAATTAATGTACGAGTCTCCGGTTTCACTAGTAACTGCCGTACCCTCAACTACTGCTGGGGTAGACATTTTAATCTATTTAAATTTTCGCGAATAACAATTAATTACTTGTTTTTTCTATTTAATATTTAATGAATATTTGTGCTAGTGTGTGCACTTTATAAACTCGCACTAGACCATCGGCTGCAATAACAATTAGAGGGTAGTCGATACGATTTGTACTCTGAATAAGGTTTTTACGAGATGTACATATTCCGACTATAGATATACACTATATATTCTTTTCAATTACAAGCAGATATTCTTAGCTTGAATTTTCTATCGGCACGTTGAAATCGGTACAATTTTTTTACTTTTACTTCACTTTTGACTTYTAAATTTGTTATTACTTGATTTCGTATATGCTTCGCCCTTCTTTCTCACTCTCCGCACTTTTGCAGCAAATGAATAATCTCGATATCCGCTTGCAAATTTTCACGTTTTTCGAAAACCATATTCTAAATGTTTCTTTTGCCAAATAAGTAATTTTTTATTTCTTAGTCATATTTAAATAACAAATTTCCAATTTCTACATTGTAATAGTAAGAAAATCAATATTAATCTTATATTTTCAACAATTTTTGCACCGTACACAGAAAGTTTGGTRACTTTAATCGGACGTTTCTTTGGAATAGGCGAATGGTTGTATAGCTTTGTTCGATTTGCGATGAGAGCAAGRAAGGCGCATGCTGTAAAAAATTCACAAATGCCAGCTGATTGTTGCTTGATGTGGTTTTCTTGTCATTGGTAGGTGTCTTGGATGGATGCCTCAATTACAAGCCAAATGTAATAACTCAGGTGAAATACGTAATCGAATATTTGTTTAACTATAGCAGACAAAATATTTATATTTGATCTTAAAACCAATCAAAATTGATTAACTCTAGTAAGTTCAAATAGATCTTAAATTTTTTTACGACAATCGTTAATTAAATATAGTTTCAGTCCTTCCATTTGAATTAAACTAAAACAAGATTAAATAAAAGTGATTCACAGATTTGTGCCATGCGATAAGCAATTTTTTAGTTCAGTTTGGGATAAAAAATAGTATGTTCCGATAAGTTTTTTATTTAGCAAATTTTGTATGAAGATTATTTATCGAGTAAGTAGATAAGTCAGAGAATGTAAAAAATGTACACAAACAATGTTTTACATTCTCTGGATAAGTCAGTTCAACTGCAGCTTGAATGGGAACTTAGGCAGTGTTAATAAGAAAATTTCCAATATTTTTAATAATTTAATTACTTTCATATCTACCTACTACCAATTTTTGGTCAAAAATGTGTAACCTATAGGACCACTTGCGGATATCAACTATTGTGAAAAAGTAAATATTTATCAGAGAACGTCTATCATATGATAGACGTTCTCTGTATTTATTATACGTTAAAAGGAAATAATAACAAAAGTCGATAAAGCAGTAMTTGAGTTAGGGAATGTAACAATTAGAAATACTGACCTGGCAATGACAGCTATGKCTTTCGTTAAATGCTCGCCAGTGTTAATGCAATTTACAAACAGACGCTTTGGAAGACTATTTCGCATGTTGGGAAATATATTAATTTTTTCCATTTGAAATTCTCGAGATATATGAGTACCTTAAGAAAATAATTGGTTATACTTTTTTTTTAGAGCGACTTCGAGCATTTATTTCGATATGCTTTTGTTAGACAGTTTATTTAAACTTTTTGGGTCCAAATGCGTATATTTTTACCTATAATGACGCTATTGGTGTATCTATTGGAGAATGACTGCGGTAACCCTGCTCCTAATTTAACGAAAGACTGAAACCCATTGACAGATGCTAGCAAACGACTGTTTACAGAAAAAAAGTGGCGCTTTGCTACAAATTTGGTGAAAAATATTAATTTTTGTTTAATTTCGTTGTAAAAAATCGGCAAAATTGCGTCGGAAGGGTCAGAGCAACAACACAAGATGGATAGGCGAAAGAAGCGCACATCCACAAATCAATATATGATGTACTTGGATATGATGGAAAAGGACTCTATTTTTGCAACAGGACGCATTCCACGCGATGTTGAGAGTAACTATTTGCACAAAAAATGGAAGGAACTTTCCGATAAGTTAAATACATGTAACAGTGGRCCGACGCTAACAGCAGAAGAGTGGCGGAAGGTAAGGCTTACACCTATATWTTTGTGTATATATGTATATAAATACACTTCTGTTTGAGTCTTTCTAAAATTAATTTCCATTTTTTTTCCAGCGCTTAAACGATTGGAAGAACACAACGCGCTGTAAATATAGGCGAAGTATTTCCGGCGAAAAGGATATATCATTAACATCTCTGGAATTAAAAGCGCTCGATCTTTTTGGCAAAGTGCCAAACACTTCATCGGAACCAGTGAGTATAACCCTAAAGTGTGAGAAGGAAGATCCAGACGAAGAAATAGAGCATCAGCGTACATCTGAATCCCTGCAAAAAGAGTTGCAGGCAGCTGTTGAAGAAGCTATATGTGGCGACGACGACGACGATGTCATGCAAGATGAAAGCGAAGAGCAGGAGGATATCGTAGAACATACAATATCAAACAATGTTCAAACAACTGTAGGGAATGCGAGTACAACAGGAAATGTGGAGACTACAACCTATCGTACTATTGTGGTGGAGAACGCGCAATTTACAGATGAAGACCAGAATCAAGATCATTTGGAGTTTATCACACAGCGACGTCACACTTTGGGCACGTCATCCACATCAAGCAATGCCGTAGCAACCGCCGTGCAGACGACGGTAACAGCGGCGACACCAATCCAAACCAATGTCACAAAACTCATCAATGGTGAAATGCCGTTGAAGCGGTTGCGCACGCAGCCTCCCACCGAACAAGTAGTCTACGAAGGTACATATTCTGTGTTTGTATAATTTTCAGTTTTCTGGCAATGTAGCCTTTCAATTATTTATTTACATTTTTCTTCAGTTAAAAAGGCGCCAATAGTGCAACATCCACAACCACGAACCATTACCATACGTAATACTGCAGTGCCGCAAGCAGAATGTACCAACAGCAGTAGCAGCAGCCAATTAATGGCCCTGAGTAGTCTCACATCACCGGATGTGCGGGAAATAGCACGACAACTTAAACGCATTGCGGATGTCAAAGCCGAAAAGCTGAGATTCGAAATAGCACGCTTTAAATTCAACAATCCCGGTTTTGTTTATCATTCACCCACATTATAGTATACTTACATTAGAGTATACTTACTATAATATACACTTTGCAGCGGGAATACGATAGATTATTCACGAAATTTTGTTATAAAAAATTTTTCTACTTAGTTGTAATCGGCCCAAATATTATACTATGTCTTACAAAACGAATAGCAGTAGTAGACCTAACGCTTAACACAGACCTAAATTAATTGATTATTCCAATCGTTTCTCCTTTTTGTATTTATCATTTATTATTATAAGGTATTTTAAGTCACACAAATAAGTTACATAAATATCCTAATACTATTTGCAAGCCTGGCTATTGACGAGAAATTAGTAATTTTGTAGAACCCTACCATATGAGCGTCACTCTCAAATGCCATAGTCTTCTTTAAAGTACACAGGCATACCAGTTGGATACCTTTGCTACTTATTTGATACATGTTTTTTTTATTTCAAAAACGTATTTCATAATAATTAAGCAAAGTCTTTTTCGAGGTCTTCTTTCGGTCACATGCGTGAGGCATGGATTTGAAATTGGAGTTGAAATAAGTGAAAACTTCTTGCAAATAGGAGAACTAAATTAAGTGTACAATTGGTTTTAATTATGTGTATGTATATGTTACAGAAATATTTAAACATATGTAATACACATGTGTATGAAATTTTAAATAAATAAATTTCTCTATAAAGTTAACCTATCATTGTCGCTCACTTACTGTGCCAATGGACTTTACTTTCCCGTTTGTCTCCCAAATGGCCTAATTTTGGTATGTTTTGCTCATCGACTGCGTTGATGTGCGCTACCTAGCATTAGTGCGCTTCCCATTCGTAAGTATCACAGACGATCGTTGGTCCACAATAGCGCTTCACCGGGGACAATTWGCAAAAAATATCGTAAAATTTCACTTTCAAATCTGCATTAACATCTTTCAACTTCTTCATCCTCCATCACTTTGAAGATCGAAAATGTATGTTCGAGTCATTTCATAAATCACTTAAAGAGGATAAGAAGTTGCTAACAAAAATATTGCCAAAGATAAAAATCTTACCTGCTAATATAAAGCGGCAATAATTATTGCCGGTGGAGACGGGGAGTTAGAGGCTTTTCATTTCGCTTGAATATGCTCATSCTATCGGCAGGTAAATTTCGGCAAGCAAGTATAATACTCCGCGCAGGTGTGTGTGTGAGTGTTAGCATGAGCTTCAAACAAGAGCAACAATTGCTGGGAATCGCCTGCGCGGAAGTGTAAAATCTTTATGCGAGCGATTACCACGCTTGATCTCTCAAATGGAGGAGRGTCAATTGATGTTTGCGGTGACGCGGTCAACAAGCGACCGCAATAATAACAAGAACATAGCAACACTTGATAATAACATTGTTGTTGGCGCAAAAAAAGAGCAACAAACTTGAGTTTGTTGGTCAAGCGAGCAGAGGGCCAAGGTAGAAATAATAACAACAACATTAGGTGTAATGGTGCAACTATTGCCATTGCTATTGCTGGCGAAATGTTCGGTGTTGGCGCTGGTGTGGTTGTTGTAACAATTGTTGCTCTTACACCATGACCACAGCAATTTGTTTCGGAATTTTAAGCAGCTCAGCAGCAGCARCAAAGTACCGCTTGTACATGAGCAAGCACATAAGTTCATATATACATACATACATACACACATATTTATAAGCATACGAGTAGCGGCAGTTATGGAATATTTCCCCAACTCTTCGTGCCTTTTGTCTTTGGCCGTAACATTTCCGTGATTGCCGTCGCTGTTCACAGCTCGGCTGTCGTTACAGTCTTGTCCGAAATTGCATTCCTTTAGCTGCGGGCTGCGAATTCTTCTCGTGTCTGCCATCGCATTCCGGCCACTGTCCCCTGTCTCTGCTTAAGCAGCCTCGKCAACGCTGCGACCATCATCGCGGTCACCGTGGTCACCGCCACCGCCAACAAGACATTTTCGCTGATCTCCAAAGTTTAAAGATTTTTCACAGTAAATTGCATCGATGGTGCGCCTCACGTCGCCTGTGATATATCACAATGATATTTCTCTATATAGCAGACCAGAACACATATTTTGGCTCAAGGGCTCTCATGCGCGATTCGCCTGCCTCCCGACCGCGTTCGCTCCGTRCTCGCTGTCATGTTAGAAATTTGCAACTTTTAACTTTTTCATCTTCATCATAAAGTTTTTTGTTTCGGTTTTCGGCAGATTTTCAGCCGCTCATAATAAAACGTCTCATTTCGGGCTAGGCTCTTGCTTTATTTCCTTCGCCGTGGTGAAGTGTCTGAAATTGTGATTTTTCACCAGGCGATCTGCGGTTAATAAAGAAGTTACGATAATTTATTGCGCACAGAATGAGGTTGGGAAAATTCGTTTTGGCGTTCGCTGGCTCTTCCCGCATTGACATAGCTGCTGGCCAGCGCTTTTCAGTTGGCCGTTAAGTGAGTTGTCAAAATGGCCAAGGAACAGCGAAGTGTATAAATTGTGCAACAAATTACAATGTCAGCAATTCTGTTCGATGAGCAGTGGAYTA